CAAAATCAACAACCAATACAAATGCAAAACCCAATTAATACACAATCCTTTCAACCAATTCAGCCACAAAACCCAATGATTACACACTCATATCAACCAACACAAATGCAAAATGAAATACCACTTCCATATTATCTTCAACAACACGAAATAACAAAAAATCAACTTTCAAATTTTTCACAAATGCCAAATGCAGCAGAATCATTACAAATGACAATGAATCCATACCTCATGGGTGGATCATCAATAACATCAAACAAACCATTAATGGTATTCACAGGAACAGACCCTGAATATTCTGTAGAGGATCATTTAAATGCAGTAACAGCAAATTTAATTTTAAATATAGGACCTGAACCAATTAATACGCCACTACATCAAAACTGGATACATCGACGCACAGCGTTGATACAGACAACATTAGACGGCGCAGCCTAAAAATGGTTTTCAGTATTGCCTATAGAAATAAAATCAAATTGGAAGAGATTTACACAAGAATTTTCAAAAATGTTTGACTCCGAAAGAAACAAACAACAACAAAGAGTTTTATGTAATGAAATTCGCAGATTACCAAATGAAACCATCAAACAATTAGCAGTACGTATCGAAACACTAGTTCGAAAAGCATATTCATTAAATACATACGATTATAAAAACACAAAAATGACAGAAATCTCCTTAACACCTTAACACCTCAATTAAGGAAAATAGCAATAAAAAAGAGAGCATCCCATCCCTCCTCAATTCGAGAACCCGATTTAGATTTTCCAAAACTAGTAGACAAGCTAGAGCAAGCGGAAACCACAATGAAACTTGAAGAAACAGAAAATCAGAAATTACAATATGTTAACCGAATCGAAACAAATACCACAAGTATCAACAATATACAGGAATCAGATACAGACCTTGTTGAAAAAATCACTGAAATACTCAATATTTATGAAAAACACCCAAACTTTAAAGGCAAACCATCTTTCAAAAAATGGTGTAATTATTGCCGACGATACGGACATAGTATTTCTGAATGTAGACAAAAACAACAAGATAATCAAAACAAACCTCAAAAATATAAAGAACCAAATAAATCATTCTATCAGTACATGAAGAAAGATCAAAATCTACCGAACAAAAATGTATACAGCAACAACAGTTCAGGAAAACCACTTCCGAACAATACCAATTACACGAGAAATCAATCACCATATAACCCAAGTTATAGAGGAAGATCACCAGAACGAAGAAATACACAAAATTTGTCACAAAATCATTACAATAGACCAAATAGTCAAAATAACTACTCCAGATCAAATTCAAATACAACACAATTTGTTTCTAGATCTAATTCGCAATCAAGGAATAGATACTATCCAAACAATCAGTCACGAAACTCATCATATAATAGGAATAGAAACTACTCCAATAATCGAAATAGAAGTTATTCAAACAACCGAAATCAGAATTACCCGAACAATCGATCAAGGAATAACTCATATAACAGATCAAACTATCACAGATCAAACAAAAATTATCAAAATAGATCACGAAACAATTCACAAAATCGACATTCAAGTTATAATAATCGTTATAGAAATTATTCCCAATCACCACACAGAAATAATAATCATTATAACAATTCCAACAATCGCCACAGAAGTAGTACACCTAAACATCAAAGACATATAAACCAAGTACAATCAAATCCGGAAACAACATCAGACCTCCCAGGTATTGATGACACAGTAAGTGACGAATTACAACTAAATCAAATAAACTGTGGATCATCAGATTCAGAAAGTGAAACAGAAAACACTACCTCCATCAATATGATAACAGTCGAAAATGACTACGAACCTATTATATATGAACAACCTTTTTCATCACATATATATGAAAACCAATTAGAATTCCTTCACAATTATTATATTGAACCCATCCATTCCACACAAACAACACAAGAAACTAACGAAATCAACACTACAAATAAATCCAATGAAATTGACAAAACAAAATGCTTGAATACAAATCACATCTATCAAAATATACAAAAAAAACAACCTAAAAAAAAAATTTGGACAATACCATTTCTTTTAGAAAGTCCAAGAAACAAAGAATTTCAACCACCAGATCTCGAAATTGATTTTCTAATTGATTCAGGAGCAGAATCAAATATAATAAACATTCCCACATGGAATGAGATAAAAACATTACACCCAAAACTAACGCCTCTTGAAACCTCCAGTAAACTAGCAACAGCACAAGGATCAACATTGGTAAACTATGGAAAAATTCAATTATTTCTTCTCCCCACAAGAACAATAGAGCAGAATAAAATTATAAAATAAACCATTTAAACAATTATTTCATATCACTGATATTAAACACAATATCATTGGAATACCATTTATCTCTAAATATATACCAACAATCATCATCTTGAATAGAAAAATACTAATCAAAGATAAATACACAAAAACAAAAGTCACATCCCTAACATTTTTTCAAAGATTAAATAAACAACCACCATTCTTTTCAAAATTTTATCCAATATATAACCAACAAAGAAAACAGCTGAAACCACTATCAGGAAACATATATAATTTTTCAATAAAACAAGTACACCAATATGATAAAAAACAAAATAAACAACAACTCTATATGTCAGATTTTGAATTCAAACCTATCCATAAGTTTTTCAAAATCACAATCTCATCCATAAAATATTTGAAAAACTCGAATTCAGATATTATATCTCTACATGTATACAACAATACACCCTATCAAGTAACATTACCTTTAGGACTTTTAGGCTATTGCGAAACCAACGCTACGATATCACCAATACAAGAAAAAGCATACCGCGTAAATAATATACTCCAATTATTAGATATTTGTCAATCCACAATTCTTAATGAAGAATTATCCATAAATAATATAATAAGTAATGAAAAAAGAAATACAGATTATTTCACAAAAACCCCATATTTCAAACCAAGATTCAACATAAATAACTATACAGAGAATCAACAGAAATTTTTAACAATGTTTAACTTCCAACATTCACAAATAACACAAGACGAATTTGATAAGTTAGCCAAACAGCTAATAAAATATTCATCAGTCTATGCAACATCCAAATTTGATGTTGGCAAAATCAGCTCATCACTACATCTCCCATTAAAACCTGACGCAGTTTTCAAAAAACAAAGAGCAAGTAAAGTACCAATTCATTTACACGATAACAAGTTTCAAACTTTCCTTTAACCCGGTTGGAAAGGAATTATATACTAAACAAAACTAACCAATGCAGCTTATTAAAAACCACAGATCATAGAATAACAGCATGACTAAGAAAAGGAAACCAACGGTACCCAAACCGGATTAACCCAGTTTAAAACTGGATAATTTATTCTTTTGAAGACTATTATAAAGTCTAAGAAAGAAATAATAAAACACAAAAAAGTTGAAAGACAAACCCATACCAAAAACAATTTGATTTTTGAAAAAAGGACACAACCAACGAAACATAAGAAAAACCACAATAAACCCAACATAAAACGTTATCACATAACAGGACCTCTCACAGAAACCGCACGAAATCATACTCCCACTCCTGGCCTAACCCACCAGAGAGGACGTCCTGAGCATGCTCTATAGCGGGCCTAACCCACCGCGCTACATCCACGCTTTGTGACCACACTCCTATTTTTAATAAGAGATACTCAAGGGTGAGTAACTCTTCAAAATAACCAAACTAAAACAAAAAGCTTTTGTGAAAGCAACTAACCAAAATCATAATTAAAACACCAAACTAATAAAATTTTTATAAAATATAAATTATACCTTGCAGTATATAGATCAGCATACAACACCAAAGACGAACATCCAAAGACAAAATGACCCCACTACACTCGAAAAAGAATGGCCAACCACAATCAATATGCCGCCCACAATCACAACTCAAAGGATTTAGAGTACGACTTGACTTCGCAGAAAAGGACTTCATTGAACTAGACCAATGACCACCTCGATGTTCAAGTATACGTACAGATCCGAGTAACCAGGCATCCCTTCCACGCACAATCTCCACGCCATTCCCAGACAAGGTCAAACACAAAAGAAGTTCTCTACATGAAACGGAAAAACCTGTCATAGCCAACCATTCTGAAATCAGATTTGAGTTTGTTGCGAAAACCCAGTCGTTGTCATGAGAAGACACAACGATTGAACCTGGAACTTCTCTAACAAGAGAACCCAGAAGAAATATGATGTTCGCCAAATACCAACGTTCATCATCCATCCTTTGAATTACAGAAAGACTATTCTAAAAAACTCTGTAAAACCCGGATGGGTGGAACCTGATCTAAACTACATTTTATGATTGGATAAATTAGATATTTTACCACTGTAAAGTATTTAATATTAACCAATCATGATCCATCTAACTAACAACCCACTTATTTGTAAGTGCTGAAATTACTTGTAATTTCAGCACCAGAGAGATTTGAATTTAACTTAGAAATTAGTTGCCTCTCCAAGAGAACTTCAGCAGCCGCAATAAACCAGTATACCCTAGATCTATTGAGCCTAGCAGAGACTAGTTAAACAACCTGAGACTAGATAGTATAAGAGTAAGATTAGGATCGGTATTAGACTAAGAAGTTGCACGAATCTATCCGGCCGAAAATAAGATAGCGTGACGAGCAGACGGTGCACCCTATCCGAAATTACTCTATGAGTTAACCACCTCGGTCATAACTCAAAAGGGTTGGCTTGGGGGTCGAATCCCTGAGGGCAAAAAGCGTGTCCCAATCACCCCTCTCTGCATCACTCTCTTCCTAAATCAGTATATCATAGTATAGAACCATAGTTTATCATTTGGGTCACTTGACTTTACTTTGCGGTACCTAATTTTGTGTGGAAAAAAAAGAATAAAAAACCCGAATACAATTTAAATTCTTATTTAGGGGTCAAAACAAGAAAACATGGATCAATATTGCAACCTGTTTCAAATCCAGACACGTTCCACGGTCCATTTCTGAACATGGGATCCATACTCGCGAGGACCGAGGCCTCATGAGCCTGAAGATCCCCTAGACTCACTCCTGGACTAATGGAGACATTCTCCACACTGCCAGCTGCCGATCCACTGGACCTCTTAACCCTACTGCTACCCTGGGGTGTTGCCCCGTTGGGTAGTGTGGGGTCGGCCGATGGGTTGGGGGGAGGGGGTATTGATGAACCCGAGAGGAGATCTGTTGAAGAGAGGTGGTTGTTGATCTCTCTGAAGTTGTAGAATGAGGCGTCTATTGGTACCATGGAAGATGTGGCGGATGATATGGGAGCTGAAAACAAATAAATACTTCCGGATATTGCCAGACCAAACAAATATTGCTGCGTTTGCTTACTAAACAGCACGACAGTATATGATACGTCATTGGAATATTATTTCTTCCGATTGCATACAAAACTGTTTTTCAATGTTTTTGTGGAAAGACGTAAATTAGGTTTTATATGAATCATCAAGACTTCGTTTTTAACAGCACGCAGTAACACAATTATATAGTAGGCTACAAATCACTCCCCAGAACTTTATAGCTTCATCTTTTATAGTGATTGGTCGGTCTAACCTCTTGTGAGGTTGTACAGTTCTGGGATGGAGAAGACGCCAGTGGAGAGGAACCCCTCACTCACATTCGGTCCAGGCACATCCCCCTGCTGTTGCTGTTGCATCAGACCACTATCCTCCTGCGACTCTACAAACCAACACAACATGACAAATATAAAGTTTTTAGGAAGCTATGGTATTCTGTCCCCAAATGTTTCCATGCACCTATTAAAAATTAGACTCAATTTAGAGTCGATGATCGTGAGTCTCAGTCGAAAGGCCGGTCGTTTGAGGCACACCAAGATCCATGCTTGTTGCCTGAGTGACGCATAGAGAGATCAAGAGCTGTGTAGATTTTCGGCTCGTAACATGTTTATTCACCGAGTTTTGATTGAGTTTGTATAACAATAATCTAGAAATAGAACTTCAGAAAAGTGGCTAAAACTTAATTTCAATTTGACTTTATGCTATTTTCTACTTTTTTATGAGTGGGTCATTAAAAGCGGGATATCAATAGGAATGTTATTGCTTGAACTTGTTCCATTGGTTTTTTGCTTCATCTTCATGAGCAAACAAATTCTGGAATTTTTAATTAAAAATTCGCTGATGCGTAAATGAAAAGACAAACGAGATAGAACAAGACTTCAAATGGTTTTTATAGGTGACAATTTCAACTGAAGATATTTGAACAAGAAAAAGTAGATAAGAAGCCTTAAGTTTCGATGAAAATTTATGGAAGTTGTTAAATAAGAACACCTAAATTAGAAAACCTAAAAAAGAATTAACTAGCATCAAAACCTTTTTCTGGTCTGAGATTTACTGGCGATTCATTTGAAAAAAACAATGGCTTTAGTACACTAAAATATTTTGGCTAAATGCGACGACTTGAGTATGATTCTGGCAAAGGTCATGCGCCAAAAAACTGAAAAAGCTCTCAAGAGTCATTTTGGCTTAAGTTCGGGCCAAATTCAAAACATTTATTTATAAGCTCTTATTTAATTCTAGCTTTTTAATTGAACAAAACGCCAGACTATCAGATCAGAAAATTGGAAATTTTCAGAGCTATTTATAAAAAGAGCAATAATTTCAAAAACTTTATTGAACAATTATTTTTTAGTAAATAGGTGAGTTCATTATTGTTCTTCTTCCATTCAAGTTTTCATTTAACAGAAAAATAAGTACACCAGAAGCAATTTATCCTCATACTAAACTATTTATTTGATCGCAGATATAAAGTTTTCGAAAGAAGGGATTATTAAAAAACTCAAAAAGTGCCGTCTTTGTTGGGAGGAAAAAAATAGATCCTGCAGCGTTCTTAAAGCTTTTTAAAAAGATCGATCGATCTTAATTTTTGCTCGCAGCCTATTTTTTCAAGATTTCCTAGAAAATCAAATTCAAAGGATGAATTTGTAGATTTTTCATCAAGATTTTGTGGGCTTGGAGGGTTGCAAGAGTTTGATACGAAAAGGAGGACGATTTTGATATCCGATTTTCTGAACCGGGTCGATACAGTAAAACCGATTTTATACCTGCTTGTTGGTAGTTCAAGTAGCTTGCGAGGTACACATCCAACTCTCGCACTGTGATACTGATATGGTAGGGATTGACACACAGCGAAGGGTATCTGCAATTGGGGGACTTAATCAATCTCTCTCCGTCCGTGCTCTCCAGAGGAATGGCCTTGAATAGAATGACCATAACTAGATCCAGTCGCCATACTTTGTCAGCCTGTCGCAAGCAGTCTATGCGCCTCATTTTGCCCTTCTGGTCGGCGTTGCTCAACACGCAGTTGGTGTTCATTTTGCGGACCTGGATTGCGTGAACAAATTCCTCTCGGTACTCAGGTCGGATGTCTTTTCTTAGTTTGGCCAGGAGGCGAGACGCCCACTTTGTCTTCATGTCGTCTTTTTCAGCTTGGATCTCATTCTGGAAGTTAAATAACAGTTCAATAACACCACTCCTGAAGTTTATTCTCTTTACATGCGCCCAATTTTTTCATGTTTTTTTCTTTTTCTTTGTTGCTTTGTGTCTATGCAATTTCCCGTGGTGTTTTTTTTTGTAATTTGCGAAAGAAGAAACCTAAAGAGATCCCAGGCATGTTCAGAGTTGCTGTAATTGTTTTTAGATTTTCGTCGAAGTTTTACCTTGACTTTGCGTTCTTCCAGGGGTGTGAGTCTCTTCTCGTGTTTCTTGAAGAACTTCCTTTTCCTGGCCTGCAGGTTGAACCATGTGAACGAAAAGGACTTCACGTGTGGCAGAGTGGCCTCTATGAAAGGATGGAATTCGTCCTAGAACATCAACATATAATAGCTAGCAAACACTAATTAATGGCAATTTTAAATAAAAATAGCTAAATTCGGCACAAGTAGCCAAGAATGTTCTAACCTTTTAGCGCATCTTTGAGGTGTGCGGTTGGATTCTTGCGAAAAAAATGCGATTGTTTCTTTTAGAGCTTGATTACCCTATAACTATTTAATTGTCGCCTTTAATTTCGATTGCTTCTCCGCACTGAAGGTCTTGTTTTTTAGGCCAGCCATTTTGAAATTTTTGAGAACACTAGAATGGCCATATTCAGACATTTTTCAGCGCTGCAGTCATTTTATTGACAAAACATGCCATAATCGACGTTTTAGAGCCGTTATTTTTTGGGAGGGGGGGGGAGTTTTGGCCAAAAATTGCGCGTTTTTTTGTGAGAGCTCTGCCGTCTAAAATTTTATACATTAGTACCGAAGGCGGCTTTACAAAATTTATAGGGTTGGTCAACCAGAAATGGCTGTCGTAGAATAGCTCCAAAGGGAACTATAAATATTTGGCTACTTCCACTGGCACGCTTTTGGAACTGGCATTTGGAACTGGCACGCTTTTGATGGTCAAGGGCTGTTACTTTTAAAAATGCATAGCGGGTGAAGCAATTTTATGCTAAGAAACAAACAGAAAAGTAAAACTTAAGTAGTTGTTGTTCCGACCATTGAAAATGGGGAGAAACTTTGTATTCGGGTGTTTTAGTTTTTTTTGGCTTTCAACGCAAAATCAGGTACCACAATTAATCATCGGAACATATACAATAAATATATAATCATACAATAACATATACAATTAACAATAAAAACAAATTTAAGAAAAAAGAATGAAACTTGGAAACAGACAAGCAAAACGAACCATTGAGGAACCCAGCTAAAGAGGCATTTTTGTATTTCAGTTGATTGAACCAGACCAGACGTTGAAAAACAAGAAAATAATTATTATATAGAAGGTTAGCTATATCTAAATAACTGAACAGTTAATTTCAATTTAGTTTCAAGTCTTCTGAATTAGTAAGTTTTTTTAAGTTGAATTAGTAAGAACATAAGCGTCAAATTTGTTTTTGTTGGAGAAAATTTGAAGAAAAATGTTGAATCGTTTAAATTTTTTCTCGAATGTTTCATAACTTTGTAAAGTAAAACATTTTCATCTATACAATAAAAACAGTCGGGAAATCTTTGTATCATTCATTATCTTGGAAATATTAAAAACAACTTTCTTACCATCATTTTGAAAAAATTGATAAATAATTTAGAAAATTGCAGGTCATATGCAAAGTAAACAAACAAATTTGTTTTAATTGATAAAGATTAAGTACGTTTGGTCACTTTGAAGTGAATAAATAATAAAAATTGAGTTAAAATTTGGAATAAATTCAAAATGAGCTGGTGCCAATAGCCCGCTGCTGCCAAAAATCAACTAAAAGTAAAATCTCAAGTTGAGTCTTCAGCGAGTAAAGCACAATTAACGCGATAGAACTCGTCAGTTAAACGGCTTTGCTTTTGCACGTTGCCAAATAACTTTTTTGATTATTTTCAAAACGTGTTTTAAACTCGATGTTGTAATTTATAGAGCTGCATGTTATGATTTAACGCCAATATTTTGTTGGCTAGCCTGTATTTTTCACTAAACCAGTTTTTCACAAGTACCATCAACAGAATGATTACTTTCGATGTCGTTTTTATCATTCAGAAGCAAAGATTCAGAATTGTACCTCTAACTCAAAAATGCAACTTTTTTCCGGTAATTGAAAATAAAATAAAATTCGTAGACAACCATTATTAATCCCGTTCATGATGTCAGCTAAGATCTAAAATTGAAAAATAATCTTCGGCTGAGGCCAGAGTGAGCAGAGAGATCCATTGTATGCCCAGTTTTTCTCAATCACGTGAAGTATAAAAACACACTACTTGGGATTATTATTTTGGACAAGTCACAAAGTGTCTGGAACTATGACATAGGGACGATTTTTTCTGCCCGACAGGTACCTAAAACAAAGCTCGTACGGGGTAAAGTATGACCATATTTAAGGGAATTTAGCCGTTATACTGCGTTTAAGCCCGGGGTGGCTTTCTCATAGAGTAATTTTGGATAAGGTACACCGTCTGTTCGTCACGCGACCGGGTAGATTCGTGCCGTCTTATTTAGGGCCAGATAGATTCGTGCAACTTCTTAGTCTTATCCCGATCTTAATTTTACTCTCATATTTCCTAGTCTCAATAGATCTAGTATATACTAGTACTCTTGTAAGGTTAGAGGAGAATTGCTTTCTCAGTTAAAGTTAATCTTCTCTGGCTGACACTATAGATAGTTTCACCCTTACAAACTATTGTAAGTTTCCGTCATGCATCATGATTGGTTAGTTCTAAGTATTTTACAGTGATAGTTATCAGGAAAATTATTGGATATATTAAAAACTTGTTTTAAACTGGTTGCACCCATCCAAATTTTAGGAAGTTTTTAAGTCTTAAGCTACTCTAATGAAGGATGTAGTGAATTAAAATTTCTTTTTGAGTAGATTCTTTGAGAAGAGAGGCAGTTGCTCGGTTTTTGTCAAATAGTTGCTGTCGTGAAAAAGTAGAGATTAACGAATATTGTAGCGAGTTGAAAGATCGTGTCGAGGTTGCAGATTGATATAGTGACTAGTCGATTTCGTTAAGCAAAGCGAGACTACGATCATTCTCAAGTATTTGTCAAATGGTGAGATAGGGCTTGACTTCTCTGAGTGCAGCCCCAAATGATTAGGATCCGTATTTTTGGGTTCAAAATCGAGTTGGTCATAGTTATTGCTCAATGGATACCTTTGATGCGAGATTTAATTTATATTTTGCGAGGGTTGTGACTGCGGCAGGCGAAACCATTAGATTTGCCAATCCAGAGTCGGGAAATCATCGAGTTTCATCTCCTTTTTGCTGCTCGTTTCTTTTGCTCTGAGAACTCTTTTACACTATACATATCTTCATTTTTTACTAAAATCAGTTTTAGTCATGATCCTTTGTCAGTTGTTTTCGCAAAAGCATTTTAATTATTTCGTTTATTTTTCAAGAGATCCTCACATTAGAGTTACCCTTGGTAAAAATTGTGTCGAGGTCGAGGTTCCGACGTTTAGCTGGTAGGCGCTAGAGGAGATTGACTTTAGTCATCTCTTTGAGAGTAGTATCTATTCGAGTAAAACCTTCTTTTTTATCAGTTGTTTTTTCTTTTGTATCCTTAGTTGTGTCCTTTTCTCAAAAACGGATTTTTTGGTTTGTGTTATCTTTGCTTTTATTAGAGCTTCATGAGGTCTTACTTAAATCTTGAGTTGAAGTTCAAAAGAATATTTTGTCGAGTTTATTCTGGGACTAATCTGGTTTGGGTACCTTGATACTTTCCTGTACATGTTATTGGTATAGTGGTGTTAGAAAGCTGCGTTGATGATTTCAGTACAGCTTTAATTCCTTTGTCCAACCAGGTTAAGGAAAAGTTGCAAACGTGTAAATGCGAGTTAAAATTGTTATCAGTTAGTGTGTCAAACTAGAAACTCATTTATTTCTTGAATATCGTAGAGGGGAGTGAATGAATTGTATGAAATGAGTGCGTGAAATTTGGGCAATTCAAAAAGCAAGTTGGGAAAGTTACAAATATAGCACACTTAAAAAAAGTTGGTTTTTAACTTGTTTGATTAATCATTATCAAATCAACATTGCGTATACAAATTTTACGGCATGATATTATTAATTTATAGCTGCGTAAAAATTTTACAACTTTTTATAAGTTTACAACAAACAGTTCTCTTTTTATTTAAAAGTTTTACAAAAAATTCATTTTTTATTTTGATTTTTTGTTGTTTTCAAAAACTACTGGTGAAATCTAAAAGAAAGTAACCAGATGCACGTGTAAAAATGGTGGCTGAAATTTAAAAAAATATTTTGTATGAAAAATAAAATCCTTCTATTTGTGGGTCGGGTTCTGAAACAAAACTCCATTTGATAATTTATTTTCATGTGTGGGCGAGTGCATCAAAAGCTTTGCGAGCATGTGAATGACGTTTTAATTTTGTAAAAGTGGCCAAAAAAAGATCTAGTGCGCAATTTATTTCGGAGTGGCGGAAAAATCGTGGTGAGAGTTTTGTATGAGGTTATAGAGCTTGTGATCAAATTTAGTGTTTTGAGTGTCTTCTAAAAGGGGTATTTCGATAGGTTTGATGTACTCCTGCGGGATAATAATGGGACTGGAATCTTCACGAGAGAGGTTGTTTTTGAGGGGATAAAACATATACATATGGCGGATGGGGTTATAAATTCGGAGGATGCCGCGCAGGTTAGTTGTTTCGATACAGTACGTGAAGTTAAGAAAAAATGAAGATAATTGGAATTGATAAACATTTAGTGATGATGGGGCTTTCCGGTTGGGGAGCTCTTTATAAAGTGGCGTTGAATGAAACGATAATAAGTGTGAGTGTGAGCAAGCTTTGTGCTTAGCATTTCTTCATGCGAGCAGTTGATTTTGCGTTTTAAAGGAATAAGGAAGTTAAAGGTTAGATAACATTGATCAAAATGAGTAAAGAACAATTCATATGCTTCATTATTTTGTAGTGCGTGATCAATAACATGGTCGAACTTCTTGTAGCTATCTATGTCAAATGTGTAATCGATCTCGATAAAAAAACTTTCTGCGAGTTTACTGTTTGATCTGTGTCAGAAGGTGAATCTTCCATTTAGCGGATGACGGTGTGATCACAGTGCGTGATAGGAAACTGCTTAGATTTTCGTGCGATGAAGCATTTAAGTACATGCGAGAATCCAATGTTAATGATTTGGTTCAGTTGTAGTGCAATAGTGAGTTGGTAGATGGTGTTGGTATAAAATTCTGCATCATCGTCGTTGGATTTCAGTGGAATCTTTAAAAATTTAGTAAGGTTAGAGAAAGTTATCCAGGAAAGTGTAAGGAAAGCGTAGTATTGGTCTACATAGGTCTTACGATGGCTTTGGGCTTCGGTGTTGTCATAAGAGTAGTGGAGAAAAAATGGAAGGTTCTCGAGTAAAAACTGTGGGAAGTTAGTATGTCAAGGGTGGCTACTACAAATGAATTTTGATGGCGATGGGCGGTTAAGTAAATACATAAGTGGGTTAGTAGGGTACTTTCTTTTCATGAAGAGGCGTTGTGCGCGAGTGGGAGCGTTGCGAATGGATGATCAAGATTGTTTCGGATAGAGAAGTGGAGTGGGTTTAGTGAAGGATAGTGAGGTGTCGGCCAGTATTGTAAATCTGTTGTTGGTGTTGGATAGACTCATCGATGTCGTGTTCAAGCTCGTCGTCAGTCATGGGGCAGGGAGTATCGGTAATGTTACTAGAAAGAGAGGAAAGAATGGGTGTTGCATCGATGTAGGAGGAATTGGACGTGGACAACACTACTGGAGTTGGGGGAGTTTTTTTTGAATAAAAGGTGCTTGTGAGTAGTTATTGGAGCTGAGTCCAGAGTATAAAAATTAGTCAAGGGTGTCAATGGTGGGAATGTTTTAAGAGTTATGATTATGTACGCTTCAAAAACAGTTTGTATTGAATCATCGGCGTGCTTTTGAGATGAGTTAGTTAAAAAACTATAAAAAACTAGGGCTGAAAACAGACCAAGAAGAAAAAACGAGATCGTAAATTGAAAAGGCAGAGTGTTGCTGTTGGAGGTTGGAGGCGTAAGAAAGAGAACGACTGAGTGATCCAATTTTTTGGCTCATCGTGGGCTAAGAAAACTGATTGTATTGAGAACAAAGGTTTATTGTGTGGCTGCGATGTGTTAAATGTTGCTTTCAAATGGTGCAGTTATTTTCGATGTTATGTTTAATGCGTGATGCTATTAAAAATATAGTTTTACTGTTTTGTGGTGTAATTTGTAACTGATTGTTATTTGATAATTTTTGTAAATATGATGGTGCTGTGGGTGTAGTACTTGAATTGTTTTGTGGAGTATCGTATGTGTTTGATTATCTTGATAGTTTCCTACAAAACTCACTAATTTGCGAATATAGGAGAGTTTTGTTAAAGGACGTGAAAAAATTCCATAGAAAAGCGAAAAATATTCTTGCTTTGCTAGCTTATCTATTGACTTGTGTGTGAATTGCCCATTTGTTATTTTTCCCTGAAGAAAGGAGAATAAAATTTGTATGGAATTAAACATGGCGTATAGTTTTGTCAATCTATCTAAGATGTAACAGAGCTATCCTGAAAAATTTTGTTATTCGTTTTTGATGAGCAAAAACCTAAAGATATTAATCGGCGAGATATCTTGTGGGCGGTATTTTATTCCGTTACGATAAAAATAATCTTTAGTTTCTTTAAAACATCCACTGTGGTCCTAATTGTAAATGTCTGGTAAACCTGCTGTTTCTGCGAGTTTGCTAAGGTTTTGATCTACTGAATGTCGTTGGATAATGTTTATTTTCGTAAGAAAATCTTGAATTTGTTTTGTACGGATGAGATGTTGTATATCGGATTTAGTTTATATTCCTATGGATTGTAAATTTCTATTGGGGCTTCGAGCTAAAGCGCGTATACTTTCAGCTGAAA